GAGAGGTTTTGATTCCCCGTCACAGCACTTGGAGAGGAATCCTAGAATGGAGGTGCCTAAGTTAATGCCTAAGGGTATAATGTAGGTTCGTACTCCCCAACATTAGTATCACCTAGAAGGAGCCATTCAAGCTCCCTGTTCTTGGCCTGGGTTGAGCTCAAACCCTTTCTTAAATTTTGTTTACAAAAAAAAAATAGCAATAGTGATGTAAGAAATGAGTGATTCTGTAAAAATCATGTAAATAATTGGATGTTCTCCGGTTTTGTATTAGGTGATAGTCTTAGTTACAGCTTAGGCCTAAAATTCTTGTTTTGGGCCTGTTAGCATGTTGTTAGTCTATAAATAGGGCCTCTACTGTACAAAATGGGCAGAGCCCATTGTTGATATCTGTTGTTTGTGTTTTTCAGTTTAATGAAAATGGTCCCTTTTCCAAACGCTGTGTTTTGGTATTGGATCTAGGAGGTCTTCGTCCATCATAGCATCAGAGCCTAGGGTTTTCCCTTCTTTCATTTGATCCTTTTTGACCTGACGAAGACCTTCTACGATTTGCAACAAGAAGCATCATGGGAGAGGAGAAATCAGTTGCAAACAGTCTGTCGTTCTCTCATCCATTGTTCTTGCACCTATTAGACACTCAAGGGACCTCAATTGTGAATCATATGCTCACTGGAACAGAAAATTATACAATGTGGAGCAGAGCAATGAGGATAGCACTGATGGGGAAAAACAAATTAGGGTTCATTAGTGGAACCTGCAAAAAGAAGGATCAAGACGCTTTGTTACGAGAGCAATGGGAATGATGCAATGCGATCGTTCTCTCATGGATCCTCAATTTGATATCAAAAGAGCTCGCTAATGGTGTAATTTTCTTTCAAAGTGCACACACCGTGTAAATCGACTTAAAGGAAAGATTTGACAAGAAGAATAGGGCAAGGATTTTTGCCCTTCATCATGAAATCAACTCCCTCAAACAGGGATCCCTTTCTGTTTCTATGTACTATTCAAAATTAAAAGAACTTTGGGAGGAGCAATCGGCGCTAGTGATCCTTCCACTTATACCTGTGCCACTTCTTAGACTCATGTAGAGGTTATGCAAGAACAAAAGCTCTCGCAATTCCTAATGGGATTAAACAAATCCTACTCGCAAGCCAGAGTCAAATTTTGTTGATGAATCCTCTGCCCTCAGTTAACGAGGCCTTCTTAATGATCATTCAAGATGAAGCATAGAAATCCATCGCTAGCGTTGAAAAGAATTTGCTTGGTAAAGGAATTTCTATGGGAATAAGGGGTCACAGACGAGGCAGAGGTTGTGGACGTGGTGAAAATAGCTTGGAATGTACCTATTATCATAAGAAAGGGCATAGCTAAGAGAATTGCTACCAAATAATTGGATATCCAGTGAATTTCAAAGGCAATAGAGTGAAATAGAATAAAGAGATGACTTAAGGAACATCCGAGACTAACCATGAATCTGAAATATTTGCAAATTCAACAAACACTGTGGTGCCTAGCTTTACTCAGAAGCAATATCAAAAGATCCAGGAGCTGATACAGAAAGACACAGAAGTTACCACTCATATATTAACCAGTATATGTTTGACAATTCCTTCCACTTATAATGTTTCTTTTGTGACTTGGATTTTGGATTCTAGGGCAACAACACATATGATAGGAAATTTAAGCTTGTTAGACTATAGAGTTTATGATGAGCCAATTCAAGCAATTAAGATACCGGATAGAAGTAGGGTTCCCGTAACTCGTATAGGAAGAGTTAAAATTTCAAAAGAGATTATCCTTGAAAATGTTTTATTTGCCCCCCGACTTAAATTCAATTTAATCTATATATCCATACCTACAAAAGAACACAATTGTATGGCTTCCTTCTTTCCTGATCTCTGTTTAGTGCAGGCCCTTCAAGGTGGGAAGATGAAGCTAATTGGTAAAGTTGTGGACGGTTTATACATCTTAAGAATAGCAAGACATTTTCATTCTATTCATGCTACTAGCAACCTCTATAAACTTGAAAATTTTTCTGCTATTGCTTTGTGGCAAAAAAGGTTGGGGCATGCTCCTCTCTTTGTAATGCAGCATTTAGACTTTGTAATCAATGACAATATTCTTGCAAATAAAACATGTGATGTTTGTGTTCAATCTAAACAGACCAAGTTTCCCTTCAATTCTAGTTGTATAAAGACAAAGAATTCCTTTGAACTTCTGCAAGTTGATATTTAGGGACCATATAGGACCCCCAACACATCAAGGTTTTTGATATTTTCCTACTATAGTTAATGATTTTTCAAGGGAAACTTGGATTTTTATGATGAGGAATAAATCAGAAGTTGTTGCTCATATTAAAAACTTTATTTCTTACATTTTCACTCAATTTCACAAACATTTAAAAAGGATAAGAAGTGACAATACAACTGAGTTCAAAAACACAAAGTTAAAAGAATTTTTGCAAGAAAAAGGAATAATTCATGAGACCTCTTGTCCCTATACCTTTGACCAAAATGGGGTAGTGGAAAGAAAACACAAAACTATAATGCAATTAACTAGGGGTCTAATGTTGTAATCTAAGATACCTACTGAATATTGGGGGGAATGTGTGTGAGAATGGTAGTTTATTTAGTTAACAGAATTCCCTTTAAGGTAAGGGGATACCAGACTCCTTATGAGAGGGTGTACGAGCATAATAAATTTAAGCCTAAAGCAATCTCATGTGTTTTCTTAGGATACCCTGATAATCAGAAGGGTTTCATCCTTCTTGACCTGAAAAATAAAGCTATAATGGTTAGTAGACATGTAAGTTTTTCTGAAGACAGGTTTCCTTATAAAGATTCTATGAGCATTGAGCTAGGGGGAGTGAACCCATGTTAAAGGAGATGTTCTGGTATGAATTAGACCAAAGTTATATCAGGACAGATCACACAAATGCAAGAGATGTTCAACCAGAACAAGAAAATATTTAGAATGACACTCAACAGGTAAATGGAAATGGTAATGAGCCTAAACTCAACCAACATAGACCGGTTATGGAGAGAAGACCTCCCATATGCTCAAAGGATTACATTTGTTCTTTGCTTTCTTTTGAGACTGAAACAAATCAAGGAAGTAAATGTAAATATCCCATTGTTAACTACATATCTTATTCAAATGTTTCCCTTGATTACATGAACTTTCTTTGCCCTATTGATTCTCATATTGAACCAACAAAGTATAAAGAGGTTGTGACAAATAAAAGATGGGTAGATGTAATGAAAAATGAAATGGAAGCCCTTGAAAGTAATAGAACATGGGACATTGTTCCATTACCCAAAGGGAAGAGACTTATAGGATGTAAATGGGTCTACAAAATTAAGTATAATTTAGATGGGAGTATAGATAAGTATAAGGCTAGGTTAGTATCAAAGGTTTACAACTAAAAGGAAGAAATAGACTATCATGAGACCTTTTCCCTTGTAGTAAAAATGTTTACTATTCATTTAGTGCTTAAACCTGCAACTGTAAATAGATGGAATCTATACCAGATGGACATGCATAATGCCTTTTTGCAGGGAGACCTCAATGACGAGGTCTACATGAAGATCCCTCAAGGCTTTGAAAGCAAGAGGGAGAGTATGGTTTGTAGACTAAAGAAATCACTTTATGGGTTTAAGCGAGCTTCTAGACAATGGAACAAAATTTAAAACTGATGCCTTATGAGGAAGGAAAGACAAAGAAGGAAGATCTCTTGAGCAAACCTAATAGATATCGCCAGTTGATTAGTAAGCTAATTTATCTGACAATGACTTGCCTTGATATGCCTTTTTCTGTGCAAACTTTGAGTCAGTTTATGCAAGCTCCCACCAAGTCCTGCATGGCAGCAGCAAAAGCAATGTGTTTTGACAACAATAGGATAGATTTTAACAACAGTTTTTGTTTATGGGTTCCTGTGTGCAATTTTTCTATTTCGACAGTTTTTTTTTTGCCATTTTCCTTTAAAAAATTGTATATTAAATATTTTTAATCTGAGCTATTCATATTAAATTTTAAATGTTTTAAATTAGATTACACAGTTTATTACTATGAAAGAAGGACCCAATTTAAAGGCCGTCTAAATGAGCATTTTCCATTGCAATTAACAACACAATCCAGGGTGTCACAAGCAAGGGTTCGTTCCTTTCGGGATTTGCTTATTAAACTTCAAATCAAGCGTGGTCATCATCATTACCCTCTCCTCCGTACAACCCAGCGTAATAGGAAAAATTACACACAGGTCTTAGAGAAGACAATTAATTTTGAAAAAGTCCCTGAAAATCCCCAAATGCTTTCTAAATCCCCAAGAACCTTAGAACAAAAAAATTAAAATTGTGAAATTACCTACTTGCTCTCACTGATTGAAAAAGGTTGTGATTGGCTGCTGTGTAGGTTGTGATTGTATACTATGCATGTTGTCATTCGGTTGAGTGTGGGGTGTGATTGGCTTCTGTGCATGTTGTGAATGGCTCAAATGTAGGTTGTGATTGGCTGTTGTGTAGGTTGTTACTGTATGTTGTGCATATTGTCATTCGGTGAGGGCAAGTAGATAATTTCACAATTTTAATTTTTTTACTCTGAGGTCTCTGGGGACTTAGAAAGCATTTGGGGATTTTAAGAGACTTTTTCAGAATTAATTGTTTTCTGTGAGACCTATGTGTAATTTTTCCAACATAATATTGGTTTCTTTTTTATTGAATCTTTTCTTTATTAATTCGTATCATATGAATTACTTCTATGTAGTATAGAACCTAATTATTAAGTTGATTTTGATCTTAAATATAAGACCTATTTATCATATTTATTAATTTTTTTAAATTATATATAGGGATATTTCCTCAACTATAATTAAGTAGAAGAAAGACAGAAGATATTAAAGAAGATAATTATAATATTTTAAAAAAAATATGTGATATTTTTTTATAAATAACTAATTTATTTAAATTTTCTTCCCACTTCAGGGTTTTACCAAATCTCTCGCTCCTTGAACGAGAATTTGTTGGTTCGATTCTCTCCCTTGCTGAAGTTCTTTGGACCACTCCAGCGTTCCCAAGTACTCGTGGTTCTCGCTCAGGCTCATTTTACTTCATTCTTTCTGTTTGGACGCGGAGAATTGTATGAGAAGTCAAGAGCTGTCATTTCTTATAGAATGGTCTAAGCTTTGAGCAATTATCGATCTGCGGTGTTCAATTTTTTATGATTTTGCTTTTGGTTTTATGCTTCTTTTCTTTACACCAAATCTCAAGATCAAGGTCTCTGCTTCTTGGGACCAATTATATTGCTGACTATGGGGGTTTTTTTTTCCCTCGGTGTTTGATCTGTTTATAACACCCGATTCATTTGTCAGCTGTGTAAACAACTATTGTTCTTAGGATAATTTAATTGTTTTTTTTTTTTTGACACAGATGTCAACCATAGCGAGGAGAGGTATCCATTACCTGCAGAAACTAAATGCTGCTAACATTCCTACTGCTTTGCTAGAGAAAGGCCAAAATCGTGTGATAGATGCTTCACTAACGCTTATTCGTGAAAGAGCAAAGCTAAAGGCATGTCATCATTTTATTTGAAAACACTTCTATTCCCTTTTGGATCTATATTACTCGTTCTTTTTTCCCCATGCCTTTTGTTCTATATAAATTTCATGTTTTGTGACTGATTTTATTACAAGAACTACAAGAAAGAAGAATCGTTTTAAAATTATTTTTTTTCAGGGAGAACTTGTTCGTGCTCTAGGAGGTGCTAAAGCATGTCCATCACTTCTTGGAGTTCCTCTGGGACATAATTCATCATTCCTTCAGGGTCCTGCATTTGCTCCCCCCCGCATTAGAGAGGCCATTTGGTGTGGCAGCACAAACTCAACAACTGAAGAGGGTACGAATATGGGTTTCATTAATCATTATGACTAATAGTGAACAGTTTCCCCCGAAAATTTCTGTTAGGCGTGTTTCATTAATCATTTTGATGGCAGAACAAACGATTCAGGGACCTAATTCCTTAATGTCCTAAACTTAGTAGCGTGGGCTGACTTTGCAGGAAAGGAATTACGTGACCCAAGGGTGCTAACTGATGTTGGTGATGTACCTGTCCAAGAAATTAGAGATTGTGGAGTAGATGATGACAGATTGATGAATGTCATCAGTGAGTCTGTTAATCTAGTGATGGAAGAGGTAAATTATCATTCTGCAAGTGTCTGCCTTGGAAAATATCATAATGCTTGGAATCCCTATTTTCTTTTTTCTTTGTACCGTCCGTAACATTCATAATTTGTTTGTTTTGACCCAATTAAATATTTTTATTTGCACTCTTGTCATTGCATTATTATTTATTTTTTATATCTTTTTTGGAAAATTTATCTCAAGTGCTTTTCCTTTCTAGAATTGGTTCCTTCTAGAGTTTTATCTAATAGATAGCTTGATAAAATTTTTCCTAAAACTGCGGTTTTTTATACCTTCATATTCTTTCTTTTATGTTTCTTTTTCCTTACTTTTTATAGTGTAGGACTATTCATTATAGGTCAAATGCTAGAAATGAACAACACAATAGAGAACAACTGCCACTACCTATTCTGCTGCTAATACTACATGTTGATCTTTCAATTGCATGAGTCACGAAGTACCTTAGATCAGATGTGCACTACTAGATAGAGTTCTTAACTTTAAAACTGATATTTTATTTCAAAAACAGGGTGATCGGCAACATAATTTTGCTTGATAGATTGATCCTGGAAAGTTGCCTCTGTTTAGGCCCATCTCTGATTAAGCTAGATCTGGAGGTCTTGAATTTTGATTCATCTCTTCTAGATGTTGATCTTTCAATTGCATGAGTCCAGAAGTACCTTAGATCAGATGTGCACTATTAGATAGAGTTCTTAACTGATATTTAATTTCAAAAACAGGGTGATTAGCAACATAATTTTGCTTGATAGATTGATCCTGGAAAGCTGCCTCTGTTTAGGCCCATCTCTGATTAAGCTAGGTCTGGAGGTCTTGAATTTTGTTTCATCTCTTAAACTATTAAGTGAATGTAGTTTACTTTACACTAATAGTGCCTTCTTTGTTATAGCCTTAACTTTAGTTTTAATGGTTCCATCTGTGAGATGATGAGGCTAGATGTTGGGTGGTCATTTTTTTTCATATACTAGAGTGGTTTCTAGCGAAACTAGTTCAATTTGAATTGCTACGTTGGACAAATAATTTGATTTTTTAAGCTACAAGTATACTATTACGTGAATTATCATTTCACTTTCTTTTACCTCCCTACTTGTGTTAGATATATCTCAAATCTCATGATGTCTCCATGCTTGCAGGATCCATTGCGTCCATTAGTTTTAGGTGGTGATCATTCCATATCATTTCCAGTTGTAAGAGCTGTCTCTGAGAAGCTGGGAGGACCAATTGATCTTCTTCATTTGGATGCACATCCTGATATCTATCATTGCTTTGAAGGAAACAAATACTCACATGCGTCCTCATTCGCTCGAATTATGGAGGGTGGCTATGCTCGGCGACTGTTGCAGGCAACTTTTAAATTTGAATGTTTTTTGCTTTTATATTCTAGAGATAAGGCATTTTGAACACAACCACTTGGTTGTCCTCCATGATATCGCTTGCATTTCATTAAGCATTCAGCATTTGTATCGTGTTCCTAAGATTCTGGAGCACTCTGATAAATTTTAGGCATAACAGAATTTTTTGTATTCTTCATTGGAGTATAAAATGCAGACGGAATCAAGAGTCAATCTCATTAGGCTGTTAAAGGAAGCGCATCATCGTGGTTCTAAATATCTGATTAAAAAAATTAATGGGTTCAATGCCCACCATTAGGCCCAACCATTTATGTTCATATCACATCATTTCTTCTTGCACAATAATGTTAGCTATTATTTATCTTCTGAAGCAATGTAAAATGTATATCACATCACATCTCCTATGGGGTTAAGTTCTATGAGTTGAGCTCCTAACAAAAACCATTACAATCTCTCTTGCAAACATAAGCAGTTCTATTGAAAGTTATGTGTTGGTTGAACTAGCATATCATAAATTTTCTGTAATTTCAACATGTCGAAGAAATCATGCAGAAGGGTGAGAATTTGAGAGATGGTTGAATGGAAATTTGTTTGCTCCTCAGACTGTTTCTCACGTGATTCTTTCGGTTGCTAAATTGTTACATGTTCCTCCCACGTTTTGTACATTCTTTCTCATTAGTGATGGTAGTAAATGCTTCAATCTTTCCTTACCATACCTGTTGCATAACATATCAATATATTTTTCTATTGCAGGTTGGTATAAGATCAATAACAACTGAAGGCCGTGAACAGGGCAAAAGATTTGGGGTAGAGCAGTATGAAATGCGTACGTTTTCTAGGGATCGTGGCCTATTAGAAAACATGGTATTTCCCGTCTCTCTCTGTTAATGATGTTATTAATGATGTCATTCTCCTTCATATTTTCCATACGAATTTATTTGGTTACTCTATCAACTCTATCTGTCAGGCATAGACGCTTTGAAACCTCTTACATAGTGACATGTTATCCACTGTGGCTACATGTTTGATGAGGAGACATCCATGATTGAAATATAGCTATTAATGTAAAGTTTGTCCTTTAAAGGAGACTTCTGGGCACACAGCATACTAGTTTACTTCATTTTTGAAGTATTCCCTAGCTTTAATGTGAATAACATTTAATGCTTCAAGCCACCCAAAACAAACAGCAATATTAATGCTCCAACTTCATGATAAGAGCCTTCTCCCTTTTGCTGATCTTCATTACCTAGATTGTAAAATTCCCTTTCCTGATCTTTTTGTTCATTATTTAGATAGAGAGATTCTGATTTCTCTTCCCTTTGCTGAGTACGGTTCTGTAGTTGAATATTTTGAAACCTCCGCTGGCTCATAAAATGTATGTACTTAGATATCAATGTTCTTTAATATTGTTATTCCTTAGAAATGGTCTTCATAGTTCATGATTCCATGGTTTCTGCACAACTTCTTTGATGCCTCTCTAGTCCTTAATATAAAATTTATTTTGGTCTTAAATGTAAGAACTATTTCTTATATTTATCATTTTTTCCTAAATTACCCTTATTGATACTCTTTCAACCATACTCAAGTAAGAAAAGGAGAGAGGATGGTGAGGAATATGGTTATCGGATTTTAGGAAAAACATGTCATATTTTTTATGATTAACTAATTTACCTAATTTTTTTAATTTAATCAACTTAGTTAAATAAATCTTACATTAAGGATCAGAGGAATATTAATTATCATTTTTGTGCTTTGCAGAAATTAGGGGAAGGTGTTAAAGGAGTATATATTTCAATAGATGTTGATTGTCTTGATCCTGCCTTTGCTCCTGGAGTTTCTCACATAGAGCCAGGAGGTCTTTCATTCCGTGATGTTCTCAATATTCTGCAGGGTCTTAAAGGCGACGTTGTTGCTGCCGACGTGGTCGAGTTCAACCCTCAACGTGACACTGTCGATGGAATGACTGCCATGGTGGCTGCCAAACTGGTGAGAGAACTCACTGCAAAGATGTCAAAATGATAATCCTCTATGGATTGTTACTTCAATACCCCCGCCCCCGGGGGGTTCTCATTCCTTGACGAATCTGCAATACCGAGGTTAAAAGGGGGGGGGGGGGGGGTTGTTTCTCATTCCTTGACAAATCTGCAATACCAAGGTTGAAGAGGGGAGATTTTTGTTTAGCCTCATTGAATAATCCATGGTACAGTTTGCAACATTAAATGTATTTATCTTTAGCTACTAAAAAAATCGGTGTCTTTTGTGTACAAATCATGTTATGCCTTCTTTGTTAGGATATTTTGTCGCTTATCTTTTGTTTTTTTTTTAAATTTTTTTTAATAGACGCGCAAACAAATATATTAATACTAGGCTCAAGTTTAGGATATCATTCAAGCATGGTAGGTGGCTCTGATGCTTCTAGGGTAACTTGCCATGGACATTTTTTGATTTGTTTGAAGGAGTTTGGAGTGTGCAGAATAAGTCAATTAAATATTATATAGGGATAAGGTGTAAAATTGTCCTGGAAGTTTGCGCTGAGAAACGTTGGAGTATTTGGAAGTATTTTTTGGCTCGATGTTGCCCTGGAAGTCTTTAAATCCTAGCAATGTCATCCTGGTCATTATCTACGTAAGTTTGACTGTTAGTTAACTAATTATGCTGAGTTGGCAAGTCTAGGTATTGTCCAGGTCATTTTCTTTTTCTAGTTAAGGTGTAAATTTGCCTTGAAAGTTTTTCCTCAAGAGCATTGGGTATCTGAAAGTTTCAAATTGTAGCAATACTGTCCTGACTATTATCCATGTTAAGTTTTACCATTAACTAATCAAATATACTGAGCTATAGGTTCACGTGTAATTCACTTTTCTCCCCCCCCAAAAGTTATTTACTTTATTCTTGGTTTATAACCCTAATGTCATTTCTCCCACACAAAATAGTTCTTTTCACACATTTCTTATTTCGTCTTTCACTTTTAGTTTAGTACTTTTTATAAGAATAAAAGTCATGGTTTAAAAAACCAGACCAGATTGGCCGGTTTGGACCAAAAACTAGTGAACCGCCGATTGTCCAGTCTGGTGGTTCACCTCTTAAATCAGGGAAGACTAGCCTAGTATAACTCGGCCTAAATTGGAGAAACTTGGTAAAAACCGGAATAAATCGCTAGTTTAATGGGTCTCTCTGGGTTGCTTATATTTTTCCCCAGCAACGAAATTTTTTTTTTTAAAAAAAAACAAGAGACGAGGAAGAAGAGTGGGAGAGGATGATGGAGGACCGAGACAAGGGCGGGAAAAAAGATTGTCGCTGGTGCTCCGCCATATTTATTTCGTCATGTTGTTCTCTTTTCCTAAGAGCCGCTCGCATCTACGTAGGAAGAATGAAGAAACCTTGGAAGCTATCAGAAAAAATGGGTCACACACATAAATGAAGACGAAGAGGGACACTGTTAGAAACTGGAAAGTTAAGATAGGAAGAAAAGTCTGTCACTGTGCTCTCAGACTTTAAAGTGTTAAGCACTCAACCTATAAAGTCAGAGAGAGAGAGAGAGAGAGAGTAAAAAAGAACAAGAAAAGAAATAGAAAATATAAGAGTGGTCACGTGACATGAAGGAAATTTTAAAACAAATGAAAAGAAGAAAGAATATATATACATAAAGAGCCTAGAGATAGTTTAAATAAGATTAGATATTTTTTAGATATTTTTTTCTCATATTTAAATATGAATATTTTATATGTTTGAATTAAATTATTATTTTAATAATTACCGGTTTGATTCCGGTCTAACCCTGACTTGATCCATTAACCCTTGAATCACTATCTCAACTGGTTTAGTGTTCGGTCCGGTTTTTTGAATCTTGATAAAAGTAGAGTATAAATATTTAGTAAATAATATATGTAGAGGAAAAGCTCATGAGAACTATTAAAAGATGTAAATGATGAGGTGGATTTTGGGAATAGTCATGAGCTTGGAAAGTATAGAAGTAATGATTTTTTTAGAGTTAGTGTTAAATCCTCATCTTACAAAATATGAATTGGATCTATCAGCTTAGCATATTTGGTTAATTAATGATCAAATTTAACATGAATAACAGGTAGGTCAACATTGCTACAGTTTGTAAACTTCCAGATACCAAGTGTTCTTGAGCAAAAGCTTTCGGGGCAAATCTGTACCTAACCTATAAAAGAAAATGACATGGACAATGTCACACCTCCTTTATTACCATGTTATACATCAATTGAAACCATTATAATCCATTTCCCATAGCTCAGGAATAAAAAATTTCAAGTTAAAAATTTTTCCAAATCAGTCTGTCCATACATTGTTCACAGATTTTTGGGCCAATTTTGAAAATTTATAACTAATTCTAAAAAAATCAAAATTGAGTGATTCTAATTTTCACTTGGAGCTTGTTAAGAGTTCTTTAGAAGAAAAAAAATACTTATTGACCCTAATTCTATTTGAACCAGTACTAGAAAATTCGACAAGTTCACTGTTCATATGGTTAATTTTCAAAATTCTAGTATTTTAACCCAACTTTGAAAGGGGATAACTCTTAACAAAAAAAAAAAATCCAAATTTAGTGGTTCACCATTGGTTTTAAAGCTAAAAATGAGATATATGTGCCTACAAAATCTCAGGTCCAAATTCCACCATTTACCCATTATTTTGTATCACAAGATTAGCCTTATTTAGGGTATTTTTATCCCTTATTTCCCACTTTCATAAGCTTAATTTCCTTTTTCCTTTTCCCGTACCCTTTAGGCATTCCACCGTCCAATATTCCAACCTTAGTATACACCATACAAGTAACATTACATCATAGTATCATCCTTAATCCATTACAAACTTAACATAAAGTTCATTAAAATATTACATAACATATCATAGGGTTATAAAAATCATAAAGCTCCTTTATCTCAACACCATTTCTTTGACTTGATCCATGGATGAGCCACTCCCTATTTGAGACATAATTTAACATAAGAGGAATGATATTTCATAGAAATTTTAGTAGCGATTGAATTATAATTATCATGTAAATCAAGCAAGATATAGTGTGACATGTTATAAAACTTTAAGACATTATCAAGCCACGTAAAATCATACTTAACATCATGCTAGGAGAGGAATATCAACACTTCCACATTGACATAATTCTATGCATTTGGCCAAAGCACAAATCAAGGTCATCCAATCAACAATAATCACAACACAAGTTTCTCAATCCAAGCAACAACATAATCAAATTAATAAGCAAGATAAACAATCAAATTATAATTCAATGCTACCTTTTTGTATCACATCCCGAGAAATTTCACTTGGACATAGGGAATCAAAAATTGGGATGAGGGCCAATGTAGAAACTAGATGGGGAGACGAACCAACTTTTGATGTGAAACCCCGATAAGGTCTAGGTTGACATCTTCGTAATTATTGGTCTAGGAAGGGCAAAATGGGAAATGTGGAGAAAAATTCTAGAAAATTCCTCAAAAATAGGAAAATTATAAATTAGAGGTTTTGAAAACTTGGTTGAGGCCGAAAAGGTATAATTATTGTGAAAATAAATTGTTACGAAATTTCCCGCAGATAGAGGTTTTTCGGAAAAATATTGAAAAATCAGAGGAAAATAATTATTTTAATTAGTTAAAGGCCTCTAAAATTGTGAAAAAATTATGGAAAAAAATATAAATATTTTTATAAATTTATAAAATTATTTCTAGGCCTTAGAAGGTCAGGAATTAATTTTAGAGAATTTATTTTCCCACAGTGACACCGACAGAGGCCTAATCGAAGAAAATTCAAAATAAATACTTAGAGGTGGTGAAAAATTTTGAAAATTTTCAGATCATATTATCATATTAAAAGGTGAATTATCATGGATAAAAATAAATTTTTGGAGGTCTGAAAAAAATTATGAAATGTTACTAGTGAATAGTAACCGATAAAGTTCGAATTGGTTTGGGATTTTGATTTGAATTGTGGGCCATTCTTTTTGACCAGCCCAAACCATTTTTGGGGCTCACATTGAGCCCAAATTCGTGCAGCTTCTGGACAGCATATTTAATTAAATAAAATACAAAATTAAGGGATATATGCTTGGAAAAATCTAGATATTGGCCACTTGTTCAAATCTGACTTCTTCTAGCATTTGATGATTTCCACATAACCCCCATGAGGTGGAAAATTTCATCGAAATAGGGAGAGGGAAGGCAGATCAGATTTTTCTATAGATACCCTTTTAGAAAATACAAATAAATGTTGGAAAATTAGAAAAATAAGGGGAGACTCTGCCATTGTAGCTCCAGCTCCATTTAGCCAAAATTCTTGGGTGTTTTAAGCAAGTAATCATCCAAATTACATTAAGAAAACATTAAGGTATGCTAAAACCCTCTTCTCCTAAGCTTTAAAGTAGTTTTGGTTGAGTTTTTGACATGAAAAATTAAGAAAAATGCTGCCAAAATTTCGGTGGACCATGGAAGGTTTAGGGAAGGATAGAAACCTTAAACACCAAGTGGAATAAGCATGTATAAGTGGTGTATGGATTGGTTTTTGGAAGAAAATCCACCTAGGGTTATATATGTGTGTTTTGGCCTAGCACTGTTCATGCAGAAGAAAATTGTTCTAGTTTGATTTGATGATTCTAATGGGTTTAGAATGTGTGTTTTGTGTAGGGATATGTTGTTAGGAAGTGTTTAAAATCATTAGAATGAAAAATGGAATTTTTGGAAATAAAAATCTCCCATTCGGTCAATTACTGTTCATGAGGAAGGAGTTTGATTTTTGAAAATCTGATTTCATATTTGAATTCCTCATGAAAAATTATATAGGATTGGACCAAGAGATTATGGAATGTAAAGGAGGAATGATATTGTTAAAAATCAAAGAAAAAGGGGGAATTATGTAGGTTAAGGTTAAGGGGTCGTAATTAAGTTGTATAATTGTTTATGTGGTTTGCAATTATACTTGAATTGATAGGTTTTGTGGAGAGGAATCAAGGAGAACCCAAATTCCTTGAAGAGGTTGAATTGGTTTGAGCTTAAGAGGTAGCATTGAATTGTAATTTGATTGTTTATCTTGCTCGTGTAATGTGCTTATGTGGATTGCTTGAAGTAAGGAATTTATTTTGTGGCATTGTTGATTTTATGACATTTGATATGCTTTGGTCAAATGCATGATAATATGTTAATGTGAAAGTGTGTTTGATTTGATGAAAAATGTGATTTTATGTGACTTGAGGATGTCAGAAGTTTTATGACATATCACATTATGCATTGCTTGATTAACATGATGATTACAGTTCATTGCTACTGAGATTTCTATGAAATCTCATTCCCCCTATGTTAAATTATGCATCAATAGGGAGTGAACCAAGTATGGATAAGGGCAAAGAATTGGTGTGAGCTAGGGAGGCCATGGAGATTTTGTGACAATGTATTAAGTTAGGTTGTATTTTATTGAAGCTTGTTATAAGTTTGTAATGAGTTATAGATATGGAATACTCTGACA